GTAATCCATGGGTCTTAAATTGTAGCTTTGTAAGAAAACCAAAATTACACGAATGTAATGTCATCAGAACTACAAAAAGCTGGTTTGACGAAAATATATATTGAAAGGCGCCATTTGTTGCTTTATTACTCATCCTCATTTATACCTGTAGAACCATCATTAATACGTTTTTTTGCTAATAAAGAATGCGCATATTCTCTTTCTAATAAAACGGACTAAATTAATGCATTATTATCCCTAAACACAACACACACACACACACACAACACAGCACCACACACACACACACACACACACACACACACACACACACACACACACACACACACACCACACACACACACACAACACACACACACACACACACACACACACACACACACACACACACACACACACGCCCACACACGCCCACACTTAAAGGCTCTGCATGCTGGATTACGGGGAATTCGTGCCGGACGCGCTCCTGCAGTCCGCGGAGCCCGTGATGAGCAGCCTCGGCAGGAAGATGGACCTCGTCGCCGTCACCGAGGAGGGCTTCTACGGCCAGGAGGACTGCGCCGCCCACGTCCTCGCCGACAGCAACGCCCACATCGAGACCTACGCTTATCTGCAGCTCACCTACGCGGACATGGAGCTCCTGGACAACGTGTACTTCATGAAGTCGCAGATTTACGAAGGAAACCTCGCGTTCTTCTACCGGAAGCACACGCCGTGGCGCCGCGTGCTGGACAAGGGGCTCAGCGCCTGGTGGAGGCCGGCTTCGTGGCGCACTGGCAGAAACGACCTCATCCAGCAGTACACGCGGGCCGGCAAGGTATATATATATATATATATATATATATATATATATATATATATATATATATATATATATATATATATATGTTGTGTGTGTGTGTGTGTGTGTGTGTGTGTGTGTGTGTGTGTGTGTATGTATATATTTTTCTTGTTTTCTTTTTCTTTCTTTTCTCTCTTTCTTTTTTTTTCTTTTTCTTTATTTCTTTCTTTATTCTTACCGTTAATATATTTCATCATATTGTTATTTCCCTTGATTTTGATGGTATATGTATGTGACCGAAAACCTAAATTATAGATAACTTTGTATATCTATCTATCTATATATGTATATATATG